AGCAATGATTACATGTCGATTCTGACATCACGGTGGTGAGCGTAAATTTCTTCTCGAGGAGGTGGGCTAGAGAGTGGAGCATGTGGGCATCTGTCAAGACTAGGTCAGAGTTATAGGGCTAATGGGGAAAAACTGTCTGTCTGTCCGAACTGAACTGCCTTCACAGTGAGAGTTGAACCAACGTTGAGGGGGGGAGGAGGGGAGTAGGTATAGGAAACGAAGCAAGCGGTCAGTTGTTTCATTTTTTATCCTTTTTTCTGGCAGTATGTGACTGCCTATTCTCCTATGAGGAATGTTGGCATATTAACACGTTGACGACATCGCGCGTTTTGGGTTTTTGCACCGCGTGGGACCAGAGCGATTTTGCGAGCGCCGCCGCCGCACACCAAATCCATGGATTTTGAGCTGTAAATACGCAATACTTAGATGCGATGAAGGTTTTCAATAATGTTCGATCTGTCTAACTTATCGGGAGTTATATAGAATGAGTACAAAGACCTTAGGAATAAGTCGCGCAAGCGCAAGAAAAAGGGATGACTTGGGTGGGACGCGTTACCGCGTCACAATGTCCCACGAGGTGCGCAAAGTGGGACGCGTTACCGCGTCACGCTGTCGTCAACGTGTTAAAGCATGAAGGCATCAAAAAACTGAGGAATTGATGCTCACCTGTTGAACAGGTCCTGAAAAGAGGTCGTCGGGCCCGCTCACTTTCACTCCAGCCCTGAAATTATGAATTGAATACGTAAAATTCTCTGAAAACTGTATCCTGCTTACCGCGCGCTAAACGTCATGTTTTTGACTCAAACACTCTCATTCATACTTACTGAAATGGGTATCCGTCAGGACGCACACAGGCAACAAGCTAGGCGCAAATTGGTGGAATCGCGCGCTCTCGTTAAAAATCTTCAATTTTTCACATTATCATTCGCCTATGTTATTTTTGTGTAGTGCATCATTTCGACTTCTGTTGTTTCACAAAAACTTATAATAAAGCGACGTTCCAGAAAGGTGAAGCAGTCCTCTTATCATGCAATTATCACCTAGTTGCCCGAAGGGGTCCTTCGCGTGGCTTCTGGAACAGTCTCGAAGTGAACAAAGCCGTGGAAAACAGAAGCCTTTCAATATTTTGGATAATGAAAAAACTTTTGAGAAGGCCAGATGAGGCAAGTCGCTCAAAGTCATCGCCCGATCCTGTTTTCGGAGATTTCGCGAGCAATCAAAATCATTCGGTTTGGAAGGCGGCCAGGCTGAAAGGGAACGTGCACTGGAGAGTGATAAGGCCCGCTTGGCGTTTAGCAGAAAGAGCGTTAGCGTTGAAGAGGCAGCACCGATGAGAGCCGCATCAATGCGGAAGTCAGCAGGCAAAGAGGGGTACCGTTTTTCGGGTTCGGACCGTTCTCATGGTTTTTCTTCATTCCTGCACCACCGACCACCCCTAAATTGATTTTTAATGGTCTGCATTCCTTGCGAACTCCGCTTTTATGGCCCCGGTGGAGGATCTTTAGGACAGGACGTGCGGCACCTGGCTGGAGCGGCGGAACCCTGCAACTGCGCAGCATTAACGCTTAGGAGAAGAAAAAGGAGAAGCACGTGAGAATTCCAGCTCTGTCTCAATTTTCTATGCGCCAGAGTTGTTATGAAGGCATTGCAGTTTGGGACCGTCTCACTAGCCTATGAATATCATATTTAGCTGGGATGATGATAGTCTCAGTCCTGCCAGAAACTTGTCAGTCGCTTGGAAACTTCTTTTCCGTTTAGGCGCGTATAAGAAGCCCAGCCTCGAAGCGTAGGGCCTTGTAGTGCACAGAGCACTATTCGGAGCCTACTCTACCTCGAACAGCGAGTCGATCTTACGACACTGCTGTCGAGTGATCTCACATTTTCACTCTATCACACCTGAACGGAAGCTCACGAAGATTTTTTAATGTGTTTCGTAATGATTATTCACTTCATATAAAGCACTGACCTATTCAGATTTGCTTGAGCTTGGCTAGTAGGACGTGGTTCATCATTAAGCAGCACTGGCCACAACCTTAAATAGCTCAATCTTTGCGTGAAAGGAATAAAAAAAGAATTTTTGGCTGAATTTTGCGGTGCATTTGAGCTGTCCATTCAGCCAACATTGGGATTGCCTTCACCTTTGCGGTAAATTTTTGTCTTTAGCCTTTTTCTTATTCCTTAGGTGTTGTTGTGTTCCTTGCTTTTATTGGTAAATTCGATAAGTTTCATGCAATGCTTATGTTTGCAGTTGCACCAATAATAAATCATAATCATAATCATAAAATCATTACTCTTACTGTGGAAAGTAACAGGCCATGTATGCAAGTGTGACTTGCAATGTCTCTGAATTAATAGCACGTGTAGCAAATTTCAAGATGAGCACAAAGAACAGTACTCGTTTTTCTGGGTAATCTTATTAATACATGAAAAAAGAGGCGATATTTTCTGCCAGCCACGCGCGCAACAGGCAACTCACCGACTCGCTATCAAATAACGTGTATTGCCAGTGCTGACAGCAGACCCTTTCCACTGCAGAGAGTGGTGCGCTAGGCACGTTGCGGGGTGATACGTATCCCTTCAATACGTTAGCTTAAAGTCTAAACTGGGAGTCTGCTCCTGAGGATTCTGTTAACTCTTTTCCTCCTTGTCTCCTTAATTTTTTAGCCACCACAGTCACGGTTTTTCTGTGAATCTGAGAGATTTTTCAGGATCAAAAAAAGAGCGGCCTTTATTCATCCACGAAAAGGTCGAAAGTCGAGGGTGGGAAATTCATAGTGGAAAGGCGACGCGAACCCCTGAGAGCATGCATCGGCCGCAAAGCGCCAGCGATGTTATTTCGAGCGATACTAAACCTTGTTGCCGTTCCGACGCTTTGCTTAGTGGACGCGGCACGCACCCACTGGCGACGCTGTCGCAGCCTCTTAAAATCGTTCAGCAGGAGAGAGCGTTTCAAGGGTCCCTTTTATCAGCTCTCGGCTGCGGCCCCACTGACCACGTCTGCCTTATTTCCAACCTGGACTCGACCTAATTACTCTAGGCTAATTGGTGTGTCTGGAGGGCTACCCCATGCTAATCACAAGGCTACATTCCTCTACATGCGTAACTAAGGTGCCAGAGAATCAAGGTTAGCCTGGGGCACACAATTTACCCAAGTACGAAAGCAATCCTTCTTCAAGCGACACTCGAACAGGTGCGTACACGAACTGATGCATCAAGTTTCAGAACCGTCACAAGACGTCACAAAGCAGCTCTCCAAGTCATGAGCGGTGCTTCGCATGGGACAAGGTGATGTAGTGTGTTGTAGTGCCCCACCCATCTTATGGCTAAACTCACTCGTTACTATATGCTACCTTGTTGATGAATTGTTTACTACGCCAAAAGCACTAGCCAGAAATTCATCAGTAGGATGGATCTTGGAGGTAATCAAACGGACACTCTTGAGCATTGGCAGAGATCAGTTACACTACTTGCTCCGCCCAAGCCGCTACAGTACTTACGCCATTATTTAGAACCCTCTTTGATAACCAGACAGAATTCATCCTATGTAGTCAGTACATTTATTCTGCATGGTTTCATTTTTCGTGTCTGACTGAGTCTATTCTGTTTAGAATGGTGCTCTGTTCACTCTTTTCTCATTTTCTCTATACGCAATGCTTCAAATTCCATTCATCGGGTACCTTGAATGGGAGGAGTTCAAATGGCCAATCAACTTTTAAGCTGAGCAAAAATTATCCGCTCAGGCTCATTGCTCTTCGATTTATTGCTGATTATTTCCGAAGATTATAATGTAGTCTGAAAGCGCGCAATCTCTTGCACATTTTGATGTACAGCAGTTGTGTATTTGCTTCACTCTAGAGTTCACTGTTATTATTCAACTTATTTGCCTCCCGTAGGCTCTCTCGCTCATACTGCAGTATAAGTGAGAGAGCCTACGGAAGCAGCAAATAAGTTGAAGCGTGTTTGGCATAAGTTTCAAAGTGAGGGGCTTGATTCTTCCCCTAAGGCTTAGCCCTGATCGCGCCCTGGTCAGCGGGTGTGTGCAGACAAGCAGAAACTAGGCGCAGAATGAAGCCAGCGCTAAAAATGAATGTAATTTTTGCAATCAAGGCATCGAATTACTCCCATAGGCTAGGTTTAACCGAAAAACAAAATCTTGAGATTCTGTGCTTGAATAGTTGCAGTTTGCTAGCGCGAGAATTCTTCTTGAAAATCGACAATCAAGTTTCTCAAGAAGAGTATGTTGTAGCCTTGCGCTGGATACTTCACAAAACTGAGGCGAGGAGCAATAAATCCTGCAGCCTACTTTTTTTTATTCTTCCACTGTTCCGCTTGACCCTGCTTATCGTGCTTGCAGTGTTTCTGATTTCTTTTGCGAGCTTGGGAATTATGGAACGATT